TTGCTACAGCCTACTGCATCCGCTTGCCCTTCGCGGGCGCATGCGTAGCTTGTGTGCTGCGTTTCCGCGACTGGGGTCATACGAAGATCGTTGTTTGTGCGCTGTACGACCAGATGAGTATTGAGGCGATCTTGTGCATCTTCTCTGAGCTGTCACCCAGCGATGTGTGTCTGACTTCGTGAAAAAAACACGTACTGGCATTCGGGGTTTTCGGAGAGAACATAAGCTCACACGATAGTGGCTGAGGTGTTCGCGAGACTCTTCTGTACGGAATGATATGCATAGTAAGATGGTGGAATGGGAGGATACAAGCAATGACGTCAATATCCTCAGTAGCGTCTGTATGGAGGGGGGAGCGTTGCCGTTGCGTCGATGTCGTCGAGCGCGTCAAGGGGTCCACCTGCGAGGCGAACACCTCCATCGAGTGCGTGTGTTGGCACGCGACCCTGGTCTCCGAGAGGTTGAGGGTCGCTGCTGGCGAGTGCAGAGCGCGAACTGTGACTTTCTTGTGTACTGCCTGCTGAGTCCAAGGCATTTTGCTTGGACCTGGTCTGTGGCGGGCGTACGAAGGGGATGACTTGACGGTCCACGACCTCCACGACGCTCATGTCGGCGCGAAGCGTGTGGTCCCCAACTTCTGCGGATGTTGACTCGTCCAGGACTCTCGAGCCAGACGATTCGACAGCTACTTCGGCTCCCTCCGCGCGAAGTTCGCGTTGACGCATCAACGCTTTGCTGGAGAGCTGCGGTTGCGCCGGATCGAGCGAGGTTCCATTAAGGTCGACTAGGAACCATGATATCAGAAAACGTGCGTCTAGGAGCGCTTTGATCGCAGGCAGTGGGATTGGCCTACCTCTTTCCCGTCCGTGCCAGTCTCCACTACGTCTTCTTCTGCGAGTCCACACGGCGAGGGCGAGAGCAGCGCTGCAGATAACCGCACCCGCAACGGCGATAACTGCGATGCCGCCTGTACTGAGTGCTTTCTTGCCGTGCTGCAGACAGCTATCGCTCGTTCCTCGATTCATGATGAAGATGTCCGAGTTCCCATCTACTCCGTCCGCATCAGTGCCGATCACAGCTACCGCGGCACCGGCGGTGACGTTCGCGATCCAAGTGGTGGAGGTGGTGGTGATCGAGGGGTAGTATGCAAGGACCTTGTCGAAGGTGGTATTGATGGTGATGTTGTATGGAGGTGTTCCGCCTGCCCAATGAAGCTCAACGAGCGTGCATTGGGCAGGTAGTAGTGGAGTGTCGATGGTGAAGAGTGTCGACACAGCAGACATTTTGTCGAGGCTGGAAAGGAGAGTTGGTGACCAAGACCTGTACTTCGAACCCTCAGTCAGTATGCCTATGCGGGCAGAGCGAAAAGCCAAGAAGGGGCGATTTGATATGGCGAAAACAGTTAGAGATTGAACTCACTGGAGCTGGCCAATGGTACACCGCAGGTAGACCGCCAGCGCAACCTGGCCAAGAATGCTCAACTTGAAGGAATGAATGATGGATGGTCGAGCTGTTGCGGGGCACCCTATAAATCACTGTGAGGAGTCACGAAAGTATGAGTTTCCCTACTGCGGTTGCTAAAGCTTATCGCACCCGTCTGTTCTTCACCGCGTCTTCACTGCTAGGATCAAACGTCGAGCAACAAAGTTCGTCGTTTGTATGCTGTGTGCCCACTTGACATATAGATGCGGCTCTATCCATCTTCACCATGCAATCTTCTGAAGTGAGCGTAGCCAAGAAGAGATCGTACGCACCGGCGGTCGGAAGCTCAAACAGAGCAACGTTCTGCCTTACGTTCAAGATAGATAGGTCTCACGAGCTGCAAGCCCAACGCTTGCATGAGATCCAGCCACAGGGAGAAGAGGACATCTCCATGGAGTGTTGTGGAGATTATGGGCTGCACCAGTGTGGTAACAGCCGGTGGGTGTAGTATACAGAAGGCTGAATTCGCGTCTCACGAATATAGGAAGTAGTTGGTGCTATGGCGCACTCGTGCGCGACGTAACCTAGGTCATGCGCAGAAGAATTTAGCTACAGCGACTGCACAATTCAGTCGTACGAAGAATAGGGCGCACCTGACAATTCGACGCGCCATATTACGGTGCAGCGCTGATCGACTCAGCTGCATCCCCTTGCCTCTCCCTGATCAGCACTCGCAACCGCATGCCCTCCCACCCAAGCAGGTCCGGCTTCGTGGCAAGCAAGTACTTGTCGATGTTTCCGTGCTGCACGCCCAAGTCCGGCGTTAGGGTCCCGTCTCACCCCGCACAAGCATGCGACGCACCTTCTTGATCGTCTTCAAGGCTCGTGCAGCGACCTTGATCTTGATGAACCGCCCGAGAGTGTCAGAAAAGAGGCGTTGGTTGTGGACGTTCGGGAGCCATGACCGGCGTGTCTTGTGCTTCGAGTTCGGTACGCTGTTTCCGTACTGCTTCATCTTCCCCTGGAAGAGGCCCAGCTGGGACCGCTTGAACGGCGTGCTGACGGCCGCGAAGAGTGGTATTGAGGGGAACATGGCGGGCGAGGACAGGGAGGCGGCAGCCAGCGCGCGGCGGTGAGTTGTCCAAGCAATTTGGGCGCCAAGTCCCCTTACCGCCGGGCTGAGGACTATCTGATAAGATAAGATGACGCATCCCACGGTGTCCCAGATGACTGCCCCCGCTTGAGCAGAGGCGATTCGGCCGAGGTTCTCGCAGGCATCTATTATCCCACTGCCAGGTTGCTGGTCACCATCCATTTTACCCCGACACGCGGTATATAAACTGCCAGCACAAGCCCACCGAGCCCACCGACGCCCCTCTGCTCTGCCCACCATGTTGTCGCGCTACGTCTCGCGCTCTCTCGCCGGACGGCAGTATGCCGCAGTCGCCTTCCAGCGCGGTTTTGCGAGCAGTTCCCTGAGAATGCGTGAGTGCACACAATATCATGGTTACGTGAGGTGTAGCTGACGACCACACTCGGTGCTTGTTTGGGGGATATCGCGCGGCGTTGCATGGTATGGCGTATGCGGGGGATGTCAATGGATGTGCGGGGAAATGATGCGCATGCGCAGAGAGCAAGATCACGGTGCAGAACCCCGTTGTCGAGCTTGATGGAGACGAGATGACGCGTATCATCTGGAAGAAGATTCGGGAGGAGGTGCGCTACATATCTGATCAGTCAACGTGCTGTAGCGCTAAAACTAAGGCTTGCAGTTGATTCTCCCTTACCTGAATCTTGACATCAAGTACTATGACCTTGGTCTCGAGCACCGTGATGCTGTGAGTCATCTCCTTGAACAAACAAGCCGCGTTTCGGTGCGTTCTGGGGTCTTAAAACTCACTCCATGCGCAGACGGACGACAAGGTCACGGTTGATGCGGCAGAGGCCATCCTCAAGCACAAGGTCGGCATCAAGTGCGCGACCATTACCCCCGACGAGGCGCGCGTGAAGGAGTTCAAGCTCAAGCAGATGTGGAGGAGCCCGAACGGCACCATTCGTAACATCCTGGGCGGCACCGTCTTCCGTGAGCCGATCATCCTCGACCGTATCCCCAAGCCCGTCCCCGGCTGGAAGAACCCCATCGTGATTGGCCGTCATGCATTCGGTGACCAGGTGCGGGTATCCCGCATATGCGTGTAATGACCGAGGCTCAACTCTTGGGGGTAGTATCGCGCCCAGGACTTCCTCGCACCAGGACCGGGCAAGCTCCAGCTGGTCTACAGCCCAGCCGACGGCAGCAACCCTACAAAAATTGATGTGTACGACTTCAAAGGTGCAGGTGTTGCGCTCGCTATGTACAACACTGACGAAGTAAGTTTTACTTGCACCGTTGTGGTTAAGAGTCGACTGACCTCGCGCCTCCCGCAGTCCATTACTGGCTTCGCCCACTCGTCATTCAAGATGGCGCTTGCGAAGAAGCTCCCCCTAGTGAGTAGCTGTACCATTGAATTTTTGTCAATACTCAACGTACTCAATCATTCTTTACAGTTCATGTCGACCAAGAATACCATCCTGAAGAAGTACGACGGCCGCTTCAAGGATATCTTCGAGGAGATCTACCAGAGGTTCGTGTACCAGCTCTGTGTCCCTCCAACTCTCATTCTTATACTCCTTTTAGCGACTACAAGTCCTCGTTCGAGGCCGCGCGCATCTACTATGAGCACCGGCTGATCGACGACATGGTCGCGCAGGCGATCAAGTCCTCGGGCGGCTTCGTCTGGGCGTGCAAGAACTACGACGGCGACGTGCAGTCGGACATCCTCGCACAAGGTTTCGGCTCCCTGGGCATGATGACGAGCGAGCTGATCACGCCCGACGGCGACGTCATTGAGAGCGAGGCCGCGCACGGGACGGTGACGCGTCACTACCGCGAGTGGCAAAAGGGCAACGAGACGTCGACGAACCCGGTCGCGTCGATCTTCGCGTGGACGCGTGGCCTGCTGCACCGCGCGAAGCTGGACGGAAACGACCAGCTGCGCACGTTCTGCCAGGATCTTGAGGCGTCGTGTGTGGAGGTCATCGACAAGGACGGCGTTATGACGAAGGACCTCGCGCTCGCGATCCACGGAAAGGCCATGAAGCGCGAGCACTGGGTCGTGACCGACGTCTACATGGACAAGGTCCACGTGAGTGCCGTTCGCTCCTACCAATTGATATGTTGCTGAACACTTCTTGACCGCAGGACAAGCTTAAGCAGAAGCTGGCCGCGAGCAAGACGCTCTGATTTGGGAACTGTGGTCTCGTAGTCAAGGATCTTGATTATCATCATGTGTAGTTGTATCATGTGTCAGAGTGTACACGTTCTGTTGCTTCACTGCGCTGTCTTGACCTTTCCTCTCGAGTTCATGCATCCTCGCTGTGTCCCTTCCACCTCCGGGTTCTTCATGGCCATCAACGCCTCATATTGCAGCTAATAACATCCCTCATATCGGCCGGCTGGCCTAATGGTTAAGGCGTCAGTTTCCGATTTATCGGGTCAGCTGGAGATTCCGGGTTCGACTCCCGGGTTGGTCGATACAGCCCGCTTAGCTCAGTGGTAGAGCGCGCCACTTGTATGGTTCAGATCCGCAAGGACTTGGACTCGGCAATGGTGAGGTCAGTCGTTCAAACCGGCTAGTGGGCACACGGCGCTATAGTGTAGTGGTTATCACTTGGGATTCTGAAGAGTGTTCCCAAGACCCAGGTTCGATCCCTGGTAGCGCCTTCTTTTGCTTCTTGTTGTCAGATAGTTGTGTTTTGCTGCTGTGTTTTGTTTTGTTTTTGAAATACTGTCACCGAGGTTCCGAGCACGGAGCGGCTTCGGGCGGTGTGGCTGTGCCGTATGATTGCCAAATATGGGCAGGCGCCGTCCCAGAATGGCAATAGCGCGGCGGGGATTCGCCAATTTGGGCGTGGCATTTGATGTGCGTTCAATGAGGAAGAGCACCTTCTTGTGCAACGGCCATGCCCTCGCCTCCAACCCCAGGTCGTCCTCACTGTTCCCCACGACGTCGAGCACCATAGGAAACACCCTTCTCCCCACTCTCCCCCCGCGGTCCCCCCGACCCAACTCCTTCCTTGCCACTATCGACGTCCGCAAGCCCCTGGACCCCTCACGACCACTATGCCGCTCTCCGGCCGCGCCCGTACCGACGGCGCCGACAAGGAGCGGTCCTCGAAGAGCCAGGAGCAGGAACTCAAGCGCGCAAGGGGTGCAATATCTTGCGCAGAATGCCGCCGCCTCAAGCTCAAATGCGACAAGACGGTCCCGTGCTCGTCCTGCAAACGCAGGGGGTGCGCCTCAATCTGCCCGAACGGCAGCCTGACCACCGGCCAGGGCACGAGGTACGCGTTTCCTACCCCTTCCTCTCGCGGGTAACAGCGCATGCGGGTGCTGACAGTGATGGCGGTGCGCGGCAGGTTCATTTTGGCGGACACGGACCGTCTACATCGCAAAATAGCAGAGATGAGCGACCGGATCCGACAGCTCGAGGACGGGCTCGCGATACTGCAGTCAAGCGTCACTCGCGATCCGCACCCGCTCCTGACCCAGGACCTGCTCGGCATCAAGTCCGGGCTCGAGCTACACTCTGCCAGTCGGTTCGCCGGCGGGAGTGGAGGCGGCGGCATGGAGGCGCCCGGAGAGGGCGAAGAAGAGGAAGAGGAAGAAGTGCAATACATCGACGCGTTCGGAACACTGGCGGTACGGGATGATGGCGCGGCGACGTTCTATGGACGCTCGGCGGGTTCAGAGGTGCGTCCTGATATCTCATCATTCGGCGATATGGCTGAGCGCCCCGTCGACTCCAGAGCCTCTTGTTGGTAAGTCATGCGCGTCCCGTAGTAGGTTCACCGCTCACCGTGCGCCCGTGCAGGACGAGAAACCTCAACTCGCGCTGTCCGCTCTCTCGCATACATCCAATGTCGATCACAATCTCTCTCCGGAGATCAACCGCCTCGCAGCGACGTTCCCCTCTGGCCCTACCAACCTCCCAATCTACGACTTTCAAGACCTTATGCAAGGCTACCTCCCACGCTGGCAACGTGCTGCTGAGCTGCGGGATCTCTACCTCGAACAAGCCCCGTGGTTCTTCGGCGCGGTGACCCAGCGCCAACTCGACGACGAAGTCCTTCCGCTCTTCTACGAAGATGCGGCGGAAGCGCTGCGCGCACGCGTGCAGATGGGCAGCAGTGCCGCAGGGAAGGGTCCACTTGGGGCCTCGTCCGGGGCGTTCAATCTGCCAGGCACGAGCACTCAGCCGTCATCGCACGATATGGCGCTCATGCTCGTCGTGTTCTGCTTCGGGGCGCTGACTGACCCCTCCCTACCACCTGCACCGAACAACGAGGAGGCGGCGACATACTATCAACTCACCCGCGCTGCGCTCAGTCTTGAGCCAGTGCTCGATCGGCCGCCTAGTGTCACTACGGTACAAGCCCTGAGTCTGATGGGCATCTATCAGGTGCGTTCCAATGTGCAGTTGGGCGCCCTTGTATTGACGCTTTGATTGCAGGGTATGGTAGCGGACGAGCACAGTATCGAGACGACATGGGCACTCATGGGGCTGAGCTCGAAGCTCGCTCAAAGTGTGAGTAGCTTCAGTCTTCGCGTCGCACATGAATAGTATGCTGACCCGATGCGCTTGCAGATTGGTCTCCGTACGTGTTTTTCCGTTTTCGCTGTGACAATATTTCTTAGTGTGCCCCAGATCGCGACAGCGCACGGTGGAAGCTCTCCGCGTCGGAAGTACAGAAGCGTCGCTCGCTCTTCTGGGAGCTGTTTATTACAGACTCTTGGCAGGTATGCAGCGCACCATCGTCCTTTCATGAATGTCTGTCTCACCCTGTACGATAGGCGTTAGCCACAGGAAGGCTCCCCACCTTCACCCCTCCGTTCGTCGACACAGAACTCCCCGCCGACCCAGACCAGACGCTTGCGGATGATGGCACGCCGCAATCCAGCTGTAAGGAGTCCACCGATTGCGCATTTGCCGCATATGCTGATATGGCGGCGTGTAGTTCCTGCATGGAAGGCGCGCTGGGGGAAAGAGTGCGTCTCGAACGTTGTGACGGGCACGCTCACCGCACAGGCGCCCAAGTATTCAGTCATTCTTGACCTCGATCGACGCATCCGCGATACGTCCCTGCCGAAATACGCGCTGGGCCCGGCCCCGCAGAACGCTGGGCTTGCGCAGACGATGTCCCATTACATGCCGACAAACTATCTTCACCTAAGTGAGTACTACACTGCTCACTGTGGAGTCGGCTGCTTATCAGCCTCGCGTAGCTCTGCTCTATGTGCATCGCTGCTTCTTCGCACAAGCCATCCTCGACAACCCCACGGACCCGATGCGCAGTCAATACGCGCCGTCCTTCCTCGCGGGATATCGCAGCGCCTGCGCGCTCCTCGGCTCCATTCGTGAGCAATTCGCGCTCTTCCCCGTGCAGATCGCGCGCTTCTGGGTGTTGTGGACGCACGCGTTCTCCGCTTGTGTAAGTACTGCGCGCCTCGCCCGTCCCGCGACGACCTCTGCTAACGCGCTGGCGTCGAATTGGATCTGCAGGTGATGCTCGGATCCGTCGTGACCCGTGGCGGCACTTCCAAGACCGCGCAGGCGGCGCTCAGCGAGCTCCGCATTGCGTGTGACTTGTTCGAGCACGCGGCTACGCATGGAGGCAGAGCGCGCAAGTTCCTGGTACGCCGCGCCTAACCACGCATTCGAGTATATCACTTACCACCTATGTGCATGCAGCCCGTGATACGCAAGTTGCACGAGAAGGCACAGGCTGCGTACTTCATGGGTATCCAGCCGCTGCGACGCGACATCTTCACGCCGCGCGCGGGCGAAGCGGACCATGTCGACGAGCTCTCGATCTTCAGCGGACGCACGGCGCGCACGGTCGCTACAAAGTCGAATCGGCCGCCGCGCACGTCCCCTAGTGCATCGACGATGGGGACGCCCTCGGAACTGTCAGCGCAAGGTTCCCAGACAGGCTTGGATGCAAGGAGTTCCCAGTCGCCCCCCGCGGATGTATTCCCCGCGCTCGAATCCTCGTACCGCGCGGTCATCCACCCAGGCCTCGTCGACGAGCTCAGGACGTTCGAGGGTCAACTTGATGCACAGATCAACCAGGGTAACGTGTACTACGCCCAGGCGCAGAACACGCAGCCCGTCCATCCCGGTCATCCTGTCCAGCCGATGCAAGAGTACGTGGGGCATAGTCAGCACGTTCAGCAGCCCCCACAGCAGCCACAGCATCAATACACCGAACACTATCAGGTTTCTCACCAACACGACAGTGTCTCGCCTACAGTGCCGCACGTACAACACGAGTATCCTGTCCAATACACCCAGGCGCAACCGCAACAGTATCCGATCCACCACGCCGAGCCGCTGTCTCGACGGTCGTCTTACCATGCCCTGGCAGCCGCCGTCGATCCCGTGCCGTTATCCCACCCACAACAGCAGGCCTCGCTCCACGCGGACGATGCGCACAACATACCGATGTACGCAGGCTTCTCAAGGGCGCCGTCTCAACAAGAGTATGATGCGTACGGGCGGCCGGTAGCGTCCTCGGCGCACCCAGCTGAGCCCTCCGCGTATTCGGTGCCTGTGCAGCGCTCCGAGCTCTGGAGCGTCACCGCCCCGCCGCCGACTGAACCCTCCCCCGAACCCCACCCGCACTCACAACAGCAGCATCATTATGCGCAGCCACACATGTACCGCCAGAATGTGGAGGAGCACGTCTCACCGCACGCGCAATACGGCCAACACGTGCCCCCACAGCACCAGCCGCAACACCAGCCGCATTCGCAACCGCACCCGCACCAACCCCAGCACGCACACCCGCATCAACAGCACCAGCATCCCGTCGCCCACACGCACTCGCACCCACACGTTCAGGAACACGTACAGCCGCACGTCCACCCTGCGCAGACACGGGACCACTACGCGCAGGGCCAGCAGTACGCGTACACGCAGGTGCAGCAGATGGTGCCGCCACCTCCGCCGCCGCTCATCAACGTGCACACGGGCGGGTACAGCCTGCAGGAGACGTGGACGTCGTTCATCCAGCAGGAGCTGCCCGTACCCCCGCACGGCGGCGTCCCGCCGCAGAGTATGCCCGCGAAGTGACTAGTGAGCATACGCATTGTCCGAGATTTCCGTGTCACCGGTACCCTGATATCGGGGCCGGGTGAGTGACGAGTGTCCTCGCCGAGTGAGCGTTGGCGCCGCGGGGCGCGCGTGTGCTGTACTTGTATGTCCTGTTGTCTGTGCCGAGACCTGCTGCTACTCTAGTTGTCTGCCTTGTATGCCTTGTTTTCGTTTTTGTCGCCCTCTCTATGCGTCCTAGACCAGTGTTTCGCCGTATCTGTATCGTCGCCTCCACGGATGTCGTAATGTATGCCTGCGATGTAAACCACGTACATACCCAGGATTGTTGGAATGTTAGACTGTTTATCCTCGTGGTCGAGCTTTGGACGCCTTGCAAGGGCGATAGCATACACATAAGCTCGTAAACCAGCCTCACGTTCGGGGGCGGAAGACAATGATCGTTCCTCCCGAAGGGAGGGTGGTGAGGTCCCCCGTGGGAACGTCTGAGTTTGAACGTGCCGACGGCACGCGAACCCACCAAGTCTCT